ATTCAAATAAACGACTTAGGTAGATTAAGCATACAAATCTCCGTGGTTCCTCCTCTGCAAATTCCTATATACGTTTCAGCTGCTCTTTGTATATAGAACGTTTGTCAACATAAAAATCATGAGACCTACCGGCTGCGTTAATAGACGCAGACAGATATTCTTTTATCGTCTCCGCGATTTTTCCCTATTTTCGCCTGATCGATCCGAGATCAACCATTCGTCACGTACTTTACCATTATCGTTCAACGAATTTCGTATTTACGCGATTTTATCGCGTTACGATAATTTATAAATGGGAAATGTGTGGTAGTGATTACATAGATTTTTAACACGTTGACTGCCACGCGCATTTTACGTGGTTTGCCCATGGCGCCAACATGAATATTTTATTATGCGATGCATATTACGTTGAAATATTATTTACAACAGATAAGGTGAGTTGTATAATCGCGTTTAATGTATTTTTCGTGGTGGGGGTCACCGGTGACCCCAGCGGCGCTGTAGACCATTTTTGCCATTACCAATTGTTTAAAAAGCAACTCGAAAAAATATTTCAATTCCCGATTTTAGGATGAAGTTAGCGATGTATTTAGTGAAATGTTCCGATGACGAAGATTGCATTTCATCGAGCAATTACGTACAGAAAAAACGTCGTCACGAATTTAAAAAGAAACCTGGAAGTGTGCGAAATGTAAGGCGATTTTGCAAAGTGTGCTATGAAAATAATTCAAATCAGCTAGGAAGAATGAGAGCAAAGAATTGCACTAAAAAAGTGGCGACATATTGTGCCGACTGTTTTGGTTCACCTTTTCTTTGTATAAATAAAATTATTTTTGCATGTTCTGTGTGGCATTAATTTCTTCGAACCATTATAGTAACAATGGTACTATTTAAAAATTTATCAGTATCGATATTTACTCTAATTATGTATTTTTACTAATGCTGGTCACTGGTGACCCCCATGACAGTCACATGTTAAGAATATATGTGTTGAGATGAGTGGAACAAGTATGAACAAGTAATGAGTATGTATGTAATGATTGAGGTGTGTGTGCATTGTGTATGTCAATGTAACGTACAAGGAAGAAAGAAAAATAGTTAGAGATTTGGGATACGTTAGTTGCAATTGAGTTATAATAGTGAGAAGTCCTGTGATAGCGTAATTGTGAGAAATTAATTATATTTAAACGTTATATTTGTATTTTATAATCTTTCTAATTAAATAAATAATTGTTCTTCTTGTTATCAAATTTCATCTACCACTAACAAAATGTACTTTTCTACTAGTACGTGTATAATAATTTCACAAACGTTGAAATAAGTATGATATATAAACGAAATTCGTTTATGTTCGTTTCGGATATCGTGGATTATTTGCAATTGGTATGTTAACCCTTTGCACTCGAGAGACTCTCTTCAGTCGCCAATTGAAGCTCGATATTAATTAATATATCAAATTTAAAATAACGTAAAACTGTGTGAAATATCTAAATTAAATAGTTCTACGTGTTAATTATTATACGAATTCTTATTTACTGCTCCAAAAAATATCATCAGCCTTATAGCAGAAAATTTTTCAACTCGTACCCTTCTTTAGCCAAAATATCGTCGAGCGCAAAGGGTTAACGCGTTGACTGCCATGGTGGTCATCAGTGACCGATGCTTGTCTCCTCAGTGGGGCCATGGTGGTCACCAGTGTCTGACGATACTAACTTTTTAAATTTATATTTATATTCAACCCTCTGCACTCGAAGGGTGCCCTTCAGTCGCTATTTGATAAAATTTCAAAGATCGATACTCATTAATATATCATATTAACATATTGAAATTAAATAATTCTATGTATTAATTATTATACAAATTCTTATTTACTGCTCCAAAAAATATCGTCAGCTTCATAGCAGAAAATCTTTGCACTCCTGCTCTTCTTTAAAAAATCGTCGAGTGCAAAGGGTTAATTTAAAATTATTGGTATCTAACCAATTTTTGAATATTTCAACAACGTAAATAAATAGAGAACTTTGAACAGAAGACATTAATAATTTGCACCATTTTCGTTATATTGTTTTGCCGTATTATTTAATAATTCGTTATTGTATCGTAAGAATAATGGAAATTTTATCATGGCCCCCTGAGTGTACCATATAAAAGCGCATGACAGTCAAAGTGTTAATCGAAGGAATCCTCTAACAAATCTGCATTGTCCATTTTTGCAGATTTTTAAAAATAATTTGAAGCATTGCAATATTTGGAAATAAAATTTCCATAGTGTAATAGTTGTATTTTCTGTATTATTATACAAGCAAAATTCACCAATTGTAAATATAAAAACGAATTGAAAATAGCAGAAAATTTATAAAATTGACAAGGGTTGTTTTTTGCACGAAGCTTTTGATTCAATTGATAAATAAATGTTTCGCGATATTTGTTGCGATGCAACCGCATATTACGATTTATTATATGGATATTCGTCGAGTTATTCGTACTGGATCGTAATGACGTTCAAAACCCATTACGGTGTCGTAAATTTACTTGATAATAATATTTTCGCAGTAATACTCTTGTAAAATTGGCGGCATTTTTGAATTTTGCACGGAAAAAATATGGGCAATATCTCGAATAATGGATACATATAAATCACAGTGCATATACATAGAAGCACCCATGATTCTATGTAACAGAGAACGTATACATGCACGTCTATTAAACGATTGAATCTTAATTTTTAATTTTATTTAAATTGGAATTAAATATTTAATATTTAAGCACGTATATATACGTTCTCAGCGAAACAATGAATTAATAAGAATTTAATTCTAATTGGAATTTAAAGGCTAATTATAATACTTATTAGCATAATTACGAGAAAGGGTAAGAAAGTGTCTCACCCTTTTAGTGACCGTAATAAAAGATATCGATACAAACGAAACTATTTATGAATATTTTATATTAAACATTTAAATGTAATCAATGTTCAGGGCACGAAATGGTATACGATAGAGCCTCTCGTAGTGTTCTGAACGTATTTTAATAAACAATAACAGAAACATATCTTTTCTCTGATACTCACACGTGAAATTTACACCTAACATACATTTTTCATTTTTACACGAACGATTCTTGATCGTAATAATTTAGTGTACCTGCAGACAACGTACAAATGACAACTAAGCTAAAATGTACAATCGAAAAATTCGAAAGTGAAGAAATAAACTCGACAAAATTAATAAAAATACGTGATATTTGTAAATTTGTGATTGGTCACAAAATTATTTAAAAAATCGAAATATGACGTTATGTGCATCCTTGAACTGGTCCATAGCTTGTTATCTTAATATTAACAATATTTCTTAAAATATAGATATTAAAAGAGATATTAAAGAAACAAAGAAAATATAAATATACACATTTACATACGTGTATCGAAAAATTTACGTACCCCTAATATTAGAGGTACCAATCTAGTCAAAATTTTTATTTTCAGACCTCTTCCTGCTGTACTTATTACCACAAATACACAGCTTTATTAATAATAATTTAGTTATTATCATTCGTGTATATTAAATATAGATAACATCGCAGATTGTTAACCCTTTAGACTCGATGAATTTTTCGTTACAGGAAAATAATAATTCGAAGACTCTCTGCCATACAGTCGACGATATTTTTAAAACGGTAAATAAGAAATCGTATGCAAATTAAGACGTAACATTATTTTACTTTGATATTCAACGCATCGTTGGATTGGTAATTGTAAATTTCATATATTAATTAACATCCATCTTTAGAATCTGATTAAATGGCGACTGAGAAGCGTTCCTCGAGTGCAAGGGGGTAACTCTAATGCCAAACGAGCAATTCACGGGCCAAAATTAACTCCACTTAACTTAAATTTCTCTAAATTTTCACAACAAAACACCCGATTGTGTGATAGTTATATGGTTGTCATAGAATATGTGATATGAGTGTGAGGAATATTTGTGTGGAAGAATGTGTGTTTGAGGAATATGACAGAGAGTCGCGAAGAAACAATCAGTAACTGAATGACAGTCATTAAATATAGACGTTGTGCGTAAATATCGCAGTTGGAAGCGAATTTATTTTACGAGATTTAGTTATAATTTACATTGTATTAATATTGTATTAAATAAATCTGTTTAATTGCTCCCTAGCCTTCCTCATTTCAAATAAATTCCAATTTCCCATTAACAAATATAAACACTTCTATTTCCATTAAAATATATACATCTCAAAATTCCTATTCTTCATTTTACAAATATAAACATCTCAGTAAACTCGCAATTTTGTTCGTTTCTATTAAAACGCGCGAAACATAACCTCAAAAATCCCATTCGTCGTTGCTCACCTACGAGAGGCTCTATCGTACGTTACCAAAAACAATTCGCGCACAGTAGCTACGAAAAGAAGCATGCATCGGTATATCATTAAAGAAAGAAAACCGTGTGGAATATAAAAACGGTAATCCAGTTCTCCAAACCGGATCCACCATTTGAAAGCAATCAAAGACACTGGAAAAATACCCTAAACTCGACTCGTAAACGTTCCGGTTCTTCCTACTCCTACTTCACGTTCGCACATAACAACAAACGCAACTAACAATCGGAAACCGCGTTGAAAATTCGCATGAGAAGGCCAATAGAAACGAAAAGGGAGTGTACACACCGTTCAACTAGAATTGGCAGGAAACAGAACCAAAATGGACGCATGTACGCAGATAAATTACTACGGAAAGTGGATAATCAGGATCGACTTTTAGAAATTCCAAACAGGGGACCATAGTCAGGACCAGGTGTTCAGGCCCACGAAAATTTGTCTGGAATTTTCCTAAAATTTTCCGTCAGCTCGGACCCAGGTCAAACGTTTGGCACCCGGTACCGATCGGTCACGCGCAGGTGTTTCTATTTCCTGCGAATTCCGGTGGCACGGGGTATAGAGAAGTAAAGCGAGGAACGAGGTGAAAAAGAAGGAAAAGAACTCACGTCGATACGGGCGTCCCTCCTCAGGCGTGGAACGCTCGGTGTTCTCTGATCCGGGTGTAGCGTTCGCATCGCGATCCTCGTCCTCGGGAGTGGTGCCGCGATTAGGGACCGATCCGGTTCCGGTTCCCGTGGGCGATCGGCTGGTAGATCCGGCAGGGCTCTGAGGTGCGACTTCCTGTGCCGTCGCGGCGCTCGCGCCTCCTCCGACGCCTCCAACGCCTCCGATGCTCGCGGTCGCTCCTGACACGGACACTACAGCGCCTCCGCTGGCAGAAGACAACGACGACGGCGAGAACATGTTGGACATGCTCGAGAGGGAACTGATACTCGGCAGCCCGGAGCCGGACACCGGGCCGTTTCCGGTCTCGACCTTTAGACACTTGCTCGGCGGAGCGAACGCCGATGGTCCGATGGGCCTGAACCCTCCGAATGGCAAACGGTGATCCAACGGGTGCAGGAATTGCGGCGGCAAGTGGAGCATATGATGCAGGCCGTAGCCGAGGGAGGCCGCGGTGCTGAACGGCACTTGCAGATCCTTCGAGTCGGTCACCTGTGGGCACGTTAGGAAGGGACCATTAGTCACGCAGCCATTGCTACCGGCGTGTACTCGTTAACAGATACACTTGTTAACAACCCTGTGTTTGTTTATCTTTCCCTGACTTTTCGTTTCCCGACGCGAGTCGGGCTCAGGAATAATTTAATATTTAATACACGCCTTGCAAAATAATTGCACGCACTCCAGCCCTCCCAGCTGGCTTTCGGTGCACCAAGGTCTTTCGTTCGGGTACCTATGGCTGTAAGGATACGTCGCGTTCTGGACGGCCTATTAGCATTCCGTAAAATTGCCGTTTTGGGATTAAATATCGCGGTAAATATGAAGATCGCGATGAGATATTGTTTAATATTTAATCCACGGTTTGCAAATTAATTATAGGGATTCGAGCCCTGCCAGCTGGCTTTCGGTGCACCAAGGTCTTTCGTTGGGGCACCGATAATTCTAAGGAAACGTCGAGTTCTGGATGACTTATTAGAATTCGGTAAAATTGGAAGCCAGGGTGTTTTGTGCTCGTTTTGGGATTAAATATCGTGGCAAATATGGAAGGTCGCGATGAAATATTGTTTAATATTTAATCCACGTTTTGCAAATTAATTACAGGGAGTCGAGCCATTCTAGCAGGTTTTCGGTTAGGGTACCTATGGTACTAAGGATACGTCGCACTTTGAACGACTTATTAAAATTCGGTAAAATTGAAAATTTGTGTGCTTCGCGCTCGTTTTGGAATTAAATTTTGTTACAAATATGAAAGATCGCGACGAAATATTGTTTAATATTTATTCCACGCTTTGCAAGTTAATTACACGAACTGAAGCCGTTTTAGCAGACTTTCGGTGCACTATGGTCTTTATTTAGGGTACCTGTGACTCTAAGTGTACGTCGCGTTTTGAACGACTTATTAGAATTCGTTAAAATTGAAAACTAGTGTATTTTGCGCTCGTTTTAGGAATAAATTTTGTGACAAATATGAAAGATCGCGACGAAATATTGTTTAATATTTATTCCACGCTTTGCAAATTAATTACGTGGACTCGAGCCTTCCCATCACTCTTTCGGTGCACCAAGGTCTTTAGTTAGGGTACCTATGACTCTAGGTATACATCGTGTTCTGCATGGCCCACTAGAATTCGGTAAAATTGGAAACTAGTGTGTTTCACGCGTGCTTTAGAATTAAATTTTGTGACAAAAATGAAAAATCGCGACGAAATATTGTTTAATATTTATTCCACGCTTTGCAAATTAATTACGTGGACTCGAGCCTTCCCATCACTCTTTCGGTGCACCAAGGTCTTTAGTTAGGGCACCTATGACTGTAAGTATACGTCGCATTTTGAACGACTTATTAAAATTCGGCGAAATTGAAAATTTCTGTGATCCGCGCTCATTTTGGAATTAAATTTTGCGGTAAATGAGCAAGGTCACGATGAGATATCGTTTAATATCTGATACACGCTTTGCGAATTAATGCCACTGTGACAGGGGTTTCTATGGCTCGAAGAATACGTCGTGTTCTTATTAGCATTCGATGAATTGAAATTGAAAAGAACTACATTTCCCGTTCGTTTTTAGGTTAAATTGCATAGCAAATAAGAAATGTCACGATACTAGAAAAATTCTGCAACCGCTACACAATGACTCATAAAACTGTTCGAACGCTGTATTTCAGAAAAATTCCGATTTAAACGAAGCTTTGCGTGTATATACATATAACGTAATTACAAGAGTGGTGTGATTCATTCAGAAAAATAACAGAAAATAACATCAGCAGATAAGATAAAATTATGGATTAAAGTTTTAATAACTTTTTTGCTCCTCAAACGAAATCTCACAGAGAGAAATTTTTATTATAGTATAACAGGGGACTAAGAATTAAACATGTATTCGAAAAATTTTGCTCCATCTTGCATCATGGAATAATTACATTTAAAAACAACAGAAATCGGATTTGAGCGATGATTTCATCCACGTGAAATGATATCCGTGAATAAAACAAGACTGATCCACGTGTAACTCGTTGAGCTCTACGTACACTCATACTTCCATTAACACTAGGTTTACGAATATACCTATTTCTAAGGACACCTGTCAAATTGACAGATTAAGGACACCACGTGCCTCTTTTTAACGATTAGTTTAATTTAAAAACAAATATATATTATATTAACAGTCTTAATATAATTTAACCCTCTATAGACCGGATATACATTTTTCTTGACTATAAGAATTGTATGTAACATAAAATCAACAAATATCAACCAATAAATTCAGCAGTTTTGACAATTTTGTTACAACGAATTCATATTGAAAGTTTGAATTAGCAACGTTTGTACTATCGTACCAAGATAATGTGCAATAGATAGACAAGATAATTTTCCACGCCATCTTGTGGAAAAAGGTCATAGGGGACCATAGAGGATCTAATCTATCATGATCGAATAACCGGTAAATGAAAAAGAATTAGAATTTTTAAAAATGGATCCACGGGAGATATTGTAAAAATAATTATAAATATATCGAAAGAAAAATCACGAACTGGAGTGATCGAGACGATAACGTTGAATGCAGTATTTAATAAAATACCCATACATTAGCATGTAACTTGAAAGTTACACGGGCCCATAGAGGGTTAACTAAATCTGTTACCATCGTATAATTGGAGCAACCCTTCTGTCAAATTGACGAGTTCCGTAAATCTAGTGTTAAAATCGGAATTTTGAGTTAGACTACTCCCTCGAAATACGTATATCATTCGAATACTTTCGTCAGCTACTGTACACTGTGTAATTTCAGCAATACAAAAGGTCGAAGTTGCAAATATTCGCCACGAAATTTAAGTTCCTCAAAAAAGGAACGCGAAAATTGATCATTTCGCAACCTAATTAACAACGAGTTCGACAATTTTCCTTACAACCATAAGTTTATCCGTTGTTTCGAGTCAGATGGGACAGATGGTATAGTGAATCGCAAAAATATTCGTAGATCAAAGAATATCGATTTTCTGCTCACCTTCAAGATTTTTATAGTTAATTATTAAATTGAGCTATTCGCAGTGAAGAAATCATTTTGTAGTATCGAAATACTATACACGATTTATACTTATCTTCAGTGCAATGGATCGAAACTAAATTTGACGTTCAAATTAATCCTTGTCTGCCTTTATTTATATTTATAATTTATGAAATTACGATCCTCGATAGGAGTGTGACTCGATGTTATAAAGCAAGGAGTTGAACTTTCGACTGATCGGAATTCTGTTATAAAACGAGGATTTCACGTAATATGAAGGGGAACTAAAGTGAATTGTTCCAAAATTAATGTTACTGTAGGACCAAAATATTTGACTTCGTTCAACGATTATACGATGATATACGATTTCATTGACGAGGATTTTGAAACTCGTTTCGTGAAAGAAAATTAAAAGAAATACGAATACTTCTGTAACTCGCTATAAACAAATAGAGAGTTAATTTATTTTATTTTTCTTTTTATGAATTATTTTCGAAATATTAAATTTAAATTGCATATTTACTAATATGTGAATGTAGTTGCAACTATGGAAATTAAATACCTTTTTCTACCTGTCTTCTCTCTCTCTCTCTCTCTCGCTCTCGCTCGTTCGGTGTATAGCGTGTCATGCAATATTATATACAAGGATCCAAACGTTTCTATTTTCCAATAGCGTTTAAATATTTTCAGTTGTAAATGTTGCATCGCAACGCCATCCGAATACGTTTATAACGTTGCTCGGTTTAAACAAATAGGAAAAATGCAGATCAGTTTATTTGAAATTGAAATAAAAAAAAAACAGACCGGCCTTGTTTCTCTACACCTCATTTCAATTGACACACACTTTTTCAGAGGTATCGTCGATATTTCGCGAATTATTAAATAAGCGATACGGTTTAAAAAATTACTTGTCGTTCATTCAATACCGTTGCGATTATCGTCGTTATCGTTGTTGCACCTGCAATGTAATACTCTAACAGAACCGACAATTTTAATCAGTTATTAAGCGATTTTTAAATTATTTCCTCTACGAAAACGTGAAAATTTACGTAACAAAAATATTTGAAAGCGAGAAAAGAAATTTTTTCGTCAGGTACCACGATTTTAGAAAATATTCGTCATTTAAACATCGTTATTATTAATATACAATTATTGCACTAATGCAAAAGTAAGTGAAATGTAATGTTTTAACATAAGTAACAATTTCGAATTATTTTTAAACAACGAATTATTTTTTAAATAACGAAACGAAAATTTTTCATTCAACACTCGTCGTTTTATAATAATTATTATTACCGTAAAATTACGATACTAATGTAAATAGAATTTCGAAGATATTACGTGTATAATATAATATCGTAGTAAACATAGGAAATATAATTAATAAAAATAGGAAAATTATATTTTTAAGCGATTTCTCAATCTTTGATGAGCAAATTTTTCATTTCGAACTCGAAAAGTCGCAACTGCAATCGTCACGGTTTATTTAAATTTTGCGTTATTATAAAGATGTAGTTAATTAGTAATAATTTAACTAAGAAGTTGATTAACGAAAATCACGCGATTAATTGTATAGTTACTCACGAGTGCCATAATTAATAAACCCAGATTGATAGCTATAGGATGATACTTGGACTCTTAATTAATTTTCATTAATTTTCACGACCTAACGCAATTAAATGCCTTATTACGTTAGACTTATTTATTATGTATATCGTTCGTTCTAAATTTCTGTTTTGCAATTCGAATAATTGAAGGTGCAGAAGGTTTCTCATTACGTATTACGACTACATTTTTAATTATCTGATACGTAGCTGTTCGAAAGCCTTGGACCAATTAGGATACTTATTTCGCAATGCGAGTCAAACATATTTTCAGAAAATTATTTTACGTATTGATGTCGGCATATTTATATTCCTGGTGTGGCTCCTTTGAAATTTTAATCCTTCGAAAATATCGCGATAGGCAGAGTCACTGAGCAAATTTTA